TCTCTACTGGGACTTTACTTAAGTATTTCCACTATTTCATATTAAACTCTTCTATTCCCATTCATTCTAGAGGAAATTTTATCAATGAATAAATAATGCTGTTTGTATAAATGTTGTAAGAACAAATAACAGAACAAGTGTCAACTGCCTCCATAGACCTTATAAAACATACTGTAGATGTAGATTCATTTTATCTCAAGGCCACCAGATGGCGATAGCTGTGGCTGTAAAAAAGATAAATTAATAAAAATGGTCAAACGACTTTTTTTCTTGACCTCTCTAAGCACTATCCTGCTGAGTTTATAGGTGCACTCCCTCATTTTGGATCATATTCAGTAATTTACATCTTAAACGTACTAGTTTATATGTTTCAAAATAGAGGATTATCTGTAGTATCAAACCATATGCTCACTTGCTAATAAAGCGTCAGTCATTAGTCAGTGAACGTGCAGGTTTTACAGTTAGACTCACCTTTCCTTGTAATTACAGGTGGGTGATATAGCCTCAAAATTATATCAAGAAAATGGCGTACTGGAGTAAATGGTTCATTTATGGTGCAAGTAGTGAAGATTATTGTTTCCGTCTTTAGTTGGAGAAGTTTTCTTGCGTATTTTGTAGTGTACTGTGTTTTGCTGGAGGATGTTAAAGTAACGTCTGCTCTAGGGACTCAATCATTATTAAAGGTTGCTATAACAATGATATCTCATTTTTATATCAGGGAAAAATCTCTACTGGTATTATTGCTTCCCGGTATCAGGAAATACAATATGACAAAGCCCTACTTGTAATCAGGAAATGACAGAAACCGTTATCTTAGGAAACCTATGATTACTCTTTCATCCTACTGATGGACCTGCAGTCTAGATGAACTTGTAGCTGCAAAAGCACCAGTTCTTCATTGGTTAGAGCAGTCCTCGAGCTTGCAGCAGAGCAAAGATTGCCATTGTGAGATGCAGTCCTGGATTTGGAGTCTGTCAGACAATGAAGATTTTCACCTACAGAAGAGCTTTGGTGCTTAGTTGGGTTAAAACTTGTGTTGAAGCAAAGCTGAAAAGCCTTGACAAATACATGTACAAATTTACATGTAGCTGCTATGCCACCTCTTTCCAACGTTTCCGGACAGTGAAACAACCAATCACAGGAGATTATAGCCTCGCCCTGATAGATGTAATCTGTCTGACCAAGTTGCATCAGACATCTTAGCTGTTGCATTACACAGCCCTATAGATGTCCCGTAATAAAAAAATTACTCTGCCTCTTTAAGCTGCCATTTGTTATCCTGATTCATCTCATAACCTTTAAAATGTCAGAAAACATCAGTTGAACATCTAAACCTAAGATTAGCTTTCCACATTCCCTTTATCTCACACTTGTTTGACCTTATTTTCCCAAAGCACTCGCTGTAATCTTTAATCGATATCTGCATTCATATTAACTCCTCTCAGCACTCTCATAAGCTACAGCAGTCTGAGTTATACAAAATAAAATGGAGCCGCAATCACCGCCCTAATGACACTGAAGCACCGAGGCTGCCATCGCTGCTGTTTTGTCCTCAAAGCACCTGCAGTAAATTTGCTCGCTCAGCCAAACATAATTTGTGCTAGTGCTGCATTTTGTTTTTCCTCATGCTTTCAGAAGATGATTTGTCATCTTTTGGGTATCTTATGACGGTACTCAGGCAAGTCTGTTTAAATATCAGTTCCAGTAATAGTCAGCAGCTGGTTGTTATCCTGGAGAAGCAGATGATGCTGAATTAGTTCACACTGCAGTGATTTGCTTTAGAACCTCCTTCAAGTGCTAATCCATCCCTGTCTGTGTATGTGTGCGTTCAGCTTCCAATCCGGCAGGTGTTTGCTTTAAAGGCAAGAGTTAGAGACCCAGAGGAGGTACATCTTGAAATTACATTATTTAAAAGACTTTTCTTCCAGATTTATTCTTGTGATGATTTGGGTGTTGTCCAGGGATATCCAGCAGCTCTTCATACAGGACCAAATAATCCACGTCTAGCTGAAGGAGCCCGGGGTGATTGCACAGAAGTCACGGTGATCAGTTCGGCAAAGCCAGATCGTAATGACTTGGCTCTGTCCCAGTCTTACTGCCAGAAGCCAAACACAACCTTCATTGACCAGCCTGTGCTTCCGACAGTGCAGTGAGATCGACGTAATGTTGGATCAGTCTGGAGATTTGAGGCCTGTTTGCACTGATTTGTTTTACCAACCACGTGTGCGGCTTAAACACAGGGTGAACAACACGGCGAGTGATCTGCCTGTCGCTGTGTCTTGTTGACAGTTTGGCTGTGGCATATTGGCGTTAGCGCAACCGACATCTGCTTTCTGGGAGATTAGATGTTACCGGACTGTGCTAGCTGGCTCTGCAGCTCCGGTCCAGGCTTGGTCTCTAATCGGTGCTGGCATGGCCTCCTTAAAGGCTGGAGGCGTTGACAGGGTCTGAGCCTCCCTCCCTCGATCTTTCATTCCTTCTGTTCGTCTCTCCATCCGTCCAGTTTTCTCCTTATCTCTTTCGTCTCTCTCTGGACTTCAGACTCTGACAGATCTGCTTTGTTGCTCGGCTCATGATGAGCACTGAACCCTCCCGAAGAGGTGGAATCTGAATATGAGCTCATATTTTAATTTGACACTGAGATTATTTTTCAGCTGTCATTTTAAATGTCTCATTTGCTTTCTTTAAACTTGATCCAGACCTTGATGCTGACAGGTTGATTATAGCCTCATGCTGATGGCTCTTTCTGCTTGTGGTCGACTGATATTGGTTTTTCAATTACCAATAGAAAATCTTCAGAGAGCAGGGTGGCCAGTATGTATTGCTGATATCATAATTTTTCACATTGGAGACTAAGAGAGGATGTGGAAGGAGCACAGCCTCTAACTTCTAAAGTGGTTTTGGAAACCGTAAGGACTCTGTCCTTTGTGATTCATCTTCACATCGACCTCACTGGCCTCCGAGGTTTGGCGATCATGTCAGGGAGTGTCTCTTGACATCAATGTGGTTGTACTGGTTTTACTTTAATGGCTTAATTTATTGGCTCCTTAAAGGGTAGGTCCTTTAAAAATGCTTATGTTCAGAATAAAGACCATCAACTTTTTATAGCATTTTTTTTTTGGTCATCTTATAGAAACTGTAAACATGTACATTTTAGATTTTATATTGCAAAGTCAAGATCCTGTATCAAAGATTGACTGTTTACTGTTTACTGTAAGCTTAGCTCAGGCTTGGTCTCCACAAACTCCAGATCATTAGACAGTAAACGCTCATATGTTTGTTAGCAAGTTGCTAACGTTATCTGTCTGCGATTAGAAGCAATGGATGTGCGGTTGGATTTTATGAGAACAAGTCTTTAGTCTTTAGTCTTTAAATGCGCTCCCATGATTACTAGCTAATGACTCAGTCACGCTATAGTAAAAATGGGGCAGCAACCTCCTTGCAACTGGTGGTTACCTCGTTATTAAACTGAATATTTTGCTATCAGAAACCAGCAACCACCTGGCTGCCCAGAGATGAACCACTCTTGGCCTCTGGGCAACCACTTTGGATGGATGGTGTTTGTACGGATTACCTTGAGGAGGGCAACAATCACAGTCTGACTCAAAGTGACTGCAGTCGCTCTCACATTGATGAAGGTTCACACATAATTGCCACGTAATTTAGGAACACAGGCTGTCACGTTGTTGCAGTCAGTCTGAGTTTGTCTACGCAGGTGAGCGTGACTCGTCTTTGACACTCAATTCAACTGGTTGTATTTTGGTTATGTTCCTTTATTAAAGGCTGGATAGCAAGGCTGTCATTTTGTACTTAAACTGCTGCGCTGCAGCAAGTCTGTAACTATTTGTCAAGGAATTCCCAAATTTCTGTTTCAAATCTATGAGGTTCTGGCTGCACTCAGGTCAGGGAATAAGCATCATTCCCTAGCAACCAGAGGTTGTCCAGGGGTTGCCAACCAGTCTCTAGGTGTGTGTGGTTGAGGCTAATTCCTAATTATATATGTGTATGACGTATATCAAGTCACGCTATAAATGGGAAGTCATTGGTTCTTTTTGCTGTGACCTGATTGAGTATTAACAAATTTGCAACCAAGACAAATTCTGACCAAGAAAAAAATCTGAACCTGTTGTTTGTTTCATTAAATCCGCTCACCCTTCCAATTATTCAAATTTGCACTCACTCAGTCTTTTAGCCACTCCAGCGCTCGGCTCATAATCCCTGTATTTATTAACATCTTTGACATCTCTAGTAGCTCACGTGATGGATTACTGGCCCGAGACCATTGTTAGTCTCTGCACTCTAAATATATTTCATTTCATGCGGTTTGAGGTCGGAGGCCTGGTGAAACCGGGCTGTGTGTGCTTCTCCTCTGCTGGTCCGGCCTCTGCAGTCTACAGACATCCCCCCCCCCTCACCCTCCAGTTCCCCCTCGCTGTCTTTGTTTCGGTGCTGCTGCTGCTGCACTTGGCCATGCCTGCAAATGAGCACCAGGACAGAGCAATTATTCACCACAGGGGCAAACCCTGCACCCCTCCTTTGTACATACAATACACACACACACACACACACACACACAGATACTGTCATGTTAAAATGTTTCATGCATTTGTAATGTGTAGGGCTGAGATAAACAGGGAAGAGAATGAAATGCACTTCTGGAAATTTCTTGGATGGAGATGGTCTTTTATGTTGGAACTTAATTCCCTCTGGGGGTTTGATGAGCTTCATATCCCTTTCAAAGATGAATTAATGTAGCCCTGACACACACACACATTTCTTGTCTACATCTCCACCCTCCCCTTTTCTCCACCCAACCCCAATGTAATGCAGACACTGGCTTGTCTGCAGCACTATCTGTATGTGTGTGTGCGTGCTGGTGAAGGGGAGATCTTTGTGAGGCAGTGTGCCAGTCCTCTGTGTGTGTGTGTGTGTGTGTGTGTGTGTGTGTGTGGATGAGAGGGAGTGCGTAATCTGCAGCGGCGTGCTCGCCAGCTCCGCTTGCTGACAAAAAGGCATCTCTTCGTCAGCGTGGCGCTGCCCCTCTGACTCCTGCTCTCTCCTCTTCCCGCCTCTTCATCTCTTTTCGTTTTCCTCTCTCTTTCTCTGCAGAAGCCGCTGCCTTGCCCCCTCCCCCTTGTGTCCTCTTTGCAGACAAAAAGCTGGAATAACTGCCCCACCAGGTAAGATGCTGTGTATTATATTATGTAGTCCCTTTCTAGCTGCTTTTACAGCTACAAATGTGATGTGCATTCTCAGCATTAAACAGGCTGGGGGAAAAAAGGAAAATTCTCCAGAGAAAAAGTGCCGGCTTTTTTTCTTTCTTCTTCTCCTCCTCCTTGTCTGATTGTGTGTATGATCTCTAATCAGCATCTCCCTGGGTATCATCTCTCTTTTGTTTGGCACAGATTGAGAATATTTGCTGCTGACATATTCGAAGGACGGCGTGAATAAAGTGATGCTGTGATAAGCCAGGGGCTGTTGTTCCTCTGGTTTGATGACCTTTAGTCTTTGTGACGTCCTCCGTCTAGACACCCCTGATTATTCAACCACCACGGTTCACTCAGGGTGAGCTGCTGCTGCTGCTGCTGTGTGCCTGTGTGTGCGAAACCAAGATAAAAGCCTGATCTTCTGATTTTTTTATAGCTTTATTTCACTTGGAAATAATGCTGATTGGTTCTATTTAGAGGCTGTAGCTGTGATGGCATGCGGCCGTTGGCGGTTAGCGACTCATAGCCAACAGATTGTTGGTGGTTTTTCAGTGGGAGCGACATCAAGCCGAGCGAGACCGCGGGATGCATTACGCTGCCTGTCAGCGCCGGCTGAGCTGGCTGTCACAAGTTTGCCGACGGCTCGATCGACTTTTGGAGCAGGTGGCAATGTAGCGCCCTTTTTTTTTCTCCCACTCTATCTTTTCTGTTTCTTTTTTCTTTCTTTTTGTCCTTTCCACTATTTATTCCTCCACCTCCTGCTTTTATCTGTTTTGTTCTTTCGTGTTGTGGCACCATCCGAGGGGACAATAAACCACTCCATATTCACTTAGTAATTAAACAAACTTCTAATAGTCTTAATCTCACCGTAATGCACCAAATCTCTGTTTCTCTGTGTGTTGGTTTGTTTCTTTGTCCACAAACTCCTCCCATATCATTAAGAGTTGAGCAACCGATCTTGGCACACAGGTTCATCTTAAGACCAAGAAGGTTCTTATCTATATCAGATAAAATGAAGCCGTCCCGTCGTTGAGCAACAGTCTATTGTTTTTAGCATTTATGCACCTTTGAAAACATATTAAAGCATCCTATCCTTTTAAATTCCCAACAATAACATTTGAATTATACCCACAAAAACTACATTATGCATGAGAAATTATGACGCCTTCAGATTGCCTGGCAACGACTGAGCAACTGACAAAAATGCACTGGTATTTTTTAAAACTAAACAACATCTACTATGCATATTTTTCCAGCAGCACCAACAGGGCAGACAGTACTGTAACATGGGCGTGTAACGGCATGCACCGGTGTTTATATATAAGAAGCCTTTTCCTCCCTTACTTTTCATAGTGGACAGTTGGCCTCGGGCAGGTTGCAGTATTCACTGTAAATGAAAGATGCACGTAGGCCTGTGACTCACATATTTATATATATTTATATGTATATAGTCCTTGGACAGGTCTCCAGTCCATCACAAGGCAAACACGCAGCAACTCAGAACCTTCTCGCTGTGAGGCAAACGCTGCTAACCACCACACCGCTGTGCCACCCTCCTACTTTTGTTTCTGCCATCTCGCCAACGTTCTGCTTGTATAATTGCGTGCTAGAAGTCACCGCAATGTCTGTCATATCTAGAGTGACATGACGCCCCCTCGCTCCCCTCCCTGAATCCCCTTTTCTCTCCGCCTATCTCTGTCTCCGTCTGCTTGCACGGTTACTGGGCAGCTCTCAGGCGAGCTGCTTTCTGGGACCAACTTGGGATGACATGCCAGGGCTGAGGCGGGCAGGACGAAGGGGGCGGATGCGCCCTCTTTCTGTCCTTGTTGTTGGGGTCACAGCATGTCCCCCAATCACCCAGCACCTCCTCTCTTTCCCTTTTTTTCCCCTCCTCCCTCCTCCTGCATCCCTCTTCCGGTTCTGCCAAGCCCATGCCTTCGGAATAGGGTGCAGCAGGCAGTTAACCAACTGTTGCCATGCTTGAAGGGCAAAATGAGTGGGAGAGAGAAAGAGTCAACACCACCCTGCTTCTCGCTGCTGTTAGTCAGCGGAGATAAATGTAGGTGCCACAGCGAAGTCAAGCGCAGAAAAGAAAGGCACTGTTTTCTCTTCATGACATCTTCAACTGCAAAAAAATATGCCTAAACTGTAGATTTAATCCGAAATTGCAGGGATATTGAGCCTGGGTATTTAACAATACAAAATGCAACTTTTTCCGAACTTCTTAATCAGGTTCTTCATCATTAGGGGGGGAAATAAATTCTAGGCCGATTATCCAGCTGGCACAGGAGCTGCTGTAGTCGCCCAGCGTTTCTCAACATCTGCCTCTCAGGCTGCAGTGTTTTTATACCTCCCTGTCAGAGATTAATGCGTGCTGTGGATAATTTGAAGAGGCAAAGTGTTGGAGACAGGAACACGGGAGTCCCTCGACTTTGACAGGAAGCCCTGAAGTGAGTGTTGACAAGTGATACTTGATGCGCATGAAGCTAGATGCCAAAGCTGTAAGAGGAGGTGAGCCACAGGAGACAGTTTGTCATTTCAGGGGCGGGAGGGGGGAAGACTGCAGCAGAGCCGGTGAACTGACTGGTAGTGTATTTGAGGAATGCGTGATGATGCTGCATAGTGGAAAACACCCAGAGGAGGCTGATGACGTGAGGTAGCATCCCGTCAGTTTGGGTGTTGGGTGGACGATTTAAAGAAAACAGAACTTGATGTATTTGCAAAATTCATCTCAGTTCGCATGAGGTTAAAGGCTAAAAATAACAAGCTTTAAGAGGTGCAGTTTTTAATCAGCTTTAGTTGAAGTTTTAGGGCAATCAGATTGACCAGAAGTGTTATTCACAACGATAACCACCTTTGACAGTTTCATCTTCTCCTCATGAGATGATTACAGGAGAAAAGGGCGTCTCATTTGAAAGCCTGAGACAGTCGAGACAGCACAGGTCATATAGGTTTTTCTGACACGTGTATGGGTGCAGATAAAAAGGAGCAAGGTGAGTAGCTGCTTAGTAACAACAGGTAATAAAACCCAGAGACTAAATGTGTACAGCATTGAGCTTCAAACGGTGTTAGGTGTGCGTGTGCTTTGTAATTTCTGACCATTTCAGTGACTTGAGCAGAATCTCACACAAGTTTCCTTTTAACCTCAGATGCGCTCAGATTTTGAAAGCAGCGTAAGTCATTAGTTTAAAGTTTAATAGTTTTGTAATATAACTCTTTACATGATCATTTTCAGTTTTATTCAGTTTCTGTTAACTTTTAGATTGTGTTTGCTCATTTCACTTTTTATTTGTTACTTTTAGTAACTTTATATTTATAAATTCACTTTATATTCTTTATATTTTGCTATAAAAGTGTGATTTACCTAAACAAGTGCAAGAAAATATAAAGACATGAGGTGTGGCTCAAGACTTTTGCACAGTAATGTAGATATATATTTGTCATGGGCGACATTTAAGATGTTCAGAGTAGCTTTTATAACACAAACTAAGAACTAAATAGTTCCTGTATATTATCATCGCAGAGGTTCACATTGGCGGCTAGCTTATGTCTCAGCTGCATATTTCCATCAAGGAAACTTTAAAAAGCTTCAAGGATTAACCAGAAATGTCTGCGTAACAACTGCAGTCTTCTTCCTAAATGTTTTTCACTCTCTTTGCATTCCTCAGGGTGAAAGTAATAAAATCGCAGCCTCCGGGCACCATTTCGGGCGGCGCTGTGCTAACGTGTTGATTGATGAATGTGCTTGTAATGCTCCAAGGCCACTAAAAACCTCCATATATACATACTGTGAATGCATATAGATCAGTTCAGCCACCTGTCCTCGCTGTTAACTGCAGCTGTCGTCTTGGAGACACAAAGACCCGCACCTGGTCCTTCCCGCTTTACAGAGGAGAAAGTGCTACGAGCACATGTTTAAGCTTTTAGGTCATGTGAAGGGCAGAGAGCATTACACGTAGGAAGCATGTGTGTTTATGCTCTTCTCTGCTGTACTTCAACAGTGAGTAAAAGAGTCAATCCATTATGAAGCTCATGTTACTGTGCGGTTACTTGTTGTACTCAGTCTAAACATGGGAAATTTGCTATCTTCTTTTTCATGCTAATAGCATGCTATTGCAGCAACTAAATCCAATAATCAAAACCACATTTCCTGTTGTTTCTTGTCATAAACAGGATATTACTTTTCTCTGGGGCTCCTGACTCAAGGATCAGACTTAATGGATGCATTTAAAGAGCTGGATTGCACGATGCCCTATTTTTCCAGTGAAATTTGCTCCGAAGCATCTTTTCTTGGGTCCACTAAGTCCTCTTCTGGCTGACTCCTGCACACACTGTACAGTGATACCTCCCTGTGTGACTTTTTAACATTTCAAATTATGACAAAGAGAGATTTGCATGGATTTTACAGGCCTACACTTTCCTACTGGTTTCCTGTAAAAACAAGTCTGTCGTTTAGCCACAGGGAAAGTGGAGAGAACAGAGTTTTGGCTGTGTTGCCGTTGCCGTCTTAAGATAAATGTTTCAGTCAGGAACTGTCAAAAGTAGATCGGTATTTCCTTCTGCAGTTTTTATTTAGCAGCTTGGCTCTGTGCAGGAAGCAACACAAACATCCCGGGTACAACACAAAACAGGCATCAGTGACGTAAGACAGAACACTGAGTCATGCAGCGTGAAAGGAGGAACTGGGGTGATGGTGGGTTGCAGAGTGGTTTGCAGATATACCACAACTGTAGGGGAGGTCAAAGGAAATTTATAAGTGTGAGCTAAAGCAAATTTTACATTTCAGCCTACCTGCTGTGGATTTCAGGTTTCACTGGGTTACATTAGCAGCTAACTGAGATCAAATAACTGTAAGTTTTGCTGTCAGATGATAACTAACGTCACATTATGCAATTCATTCCAGGAAAACAACCAAACAATACACGAATTTGACTGGGATACTCATCTAAGACCTCCCTTTAAGTTTCGTTCTC